GTGGGTGGGTGGCAGGCTGTGAGGGGGGCCACCAGCCAGGCTAGTTGGGCGATGGAGCCAGCCAGACTGGAGCAATGGGTGCCTTCATCCCACGGGCAGCTCCGGGTGCTTGTACCCACCCCAGCGGGAAGCAGCTCCTGGCCCCATCCCGGTTGTTGGGACGGTATCTCGCCCTGGCCCTTGGCTCACCTCCGAGCTGGGAATCACGCGGATGCTGGGGAGAGGAACGGGAATTGGGGGCACGCAGGGATTTGCACGCTCGTCGCAGATTAAATTCCAGCATCTCAGCGAACGGGGTGCAGGCGATAGCGGCGCCTCCGAATCCTCACCGCCCGGTTTGGCTTTGCATCGAGCTCTCCAGCTCACGGCGTGTAACCACTGTGTCCGGCTTCGCTTTACCTCTTCCTCTTTAAACACCGAGTTGTGGTGCCAGGAGCTGACATATCATGTCTGCAAACTCAGCTTCCTCTGCCCGAGCTGCAGCCCCAGCACCCCGTGTCCCTGGGGAGTCTTTGCTTTGCATCCCCTTGGGATTAAGATTGGGGAGAAAGGGGATGGAGCAGGTTTGAATGGAAGTCGTGGTTTTCTTGGGAGGATGGTAGCCCTCTCCTCTTCCCACTGGCCCTCGCTCCAGCTCCTGTGGGATAATGGAGCAATTGTTTCCAGGCCAGTATCCCAGGCTGGGAGGGAGAGGGCTGCCAGGATTGCCAGCCGGCTCTTCTGGCAACCATCACCTTCCCAGTCTGGAATACCGGCCTGGAGGCAAGGGATTTATTTGGGATGGATTTTCACCCCTATTAGAAAGGGTTGTGGCGTGGTGGGGGGCTGGCAGTGCTGTGTGTGGGTGACCCCAGTGTTGTGTGACAGCGGGGGTGTGTGACCTCGGTGTCGTGGTCACCTCCTGCACATCAGGATGCTCTTTTGCAGCCTTGGCTTTTAGCAGAGCGAGTGGTGTGGGGGAGGATCTGGGAGAATCAAGCAGGGCTGGGCTCTGCCGTGGTGCTGGAGGAAGAGGAGGAGGAGGAAGAGAAGCAGGGTGGGAGGAGGCAGGCGTCCCGGGGAGCGTGCTATTCCAGTGGGAACAAGGATCCTGGCGTCACCCCTGCCAGAGGTTTGACCTTAGGGAAGTGTCTGTGTGAGGAGGAGGAGGATGGTGTGGGATGAAGCAGGGGTAGGAGCAGAACCCCCCTCCTCAAGCCCTGTGGATTTGGGGGGGTTCAGGCACCCCACTGTCCCCACACCATGGCACATCTCGGGGCTGCTCGACTCCAGCCCCTCGGAGCAACCACGTCCCTGGGGCTGTGGGGTGACATCCTGCTCTGTCCTTCCAGGCTGACACCCAGATGCAGCACCCAGGCAGGGTCTCCTTCGAGTTCATCGATAAGATTCGGTTGGTGAGTGTCTCCTTGCTGGGTACTGGGGGACAGAAGGGGACAGGGACAAGGGCTGGCTGGTGCACAGTTGGGGGGGGCGATCCTCAAGTCCCCGGTCTCCCCTTTTCTGTCCCCCTTGTGAGAGGCAGCCCAGGAGGGACCCATCCTGCCTGACCAGGCAGCTGTCAAGTACCAGGGCAACCTATGGGACCATAGAAAGGCACTTTGTGACTCTGTGCCTCAGTTTCCCCAAGACAGAGTGTGATGGAAGGTGCTGCCTCTGCCCATCCAATAACCAATCTCACTTTTTTTGGTGGGGTGTGTCCTCACAGAGTGACTCCGTCTGCTACGTGAAAGCTGCTTTTCCTCTGCTGGGGAAGATCCTGGAGCGAACGGAATTCAAGGAGAACTCATCCAATGCCAAGAAGATGCAGACGGTGCGCAGGATGTACAGCCGCATCGACGAGAACGTCGACCCCTGCATCCGGGAGGAGGATGATGAGGAGAGAAAGGTACAGTGTCCTCTATCTACCTCGTGGGGTGCCAGATCTGTGGATTGTGTGGGTCTGAGTCCTCATCCTTGGGTGAAATGGGGTGTCCAGAGCATCTCTGGACATATCTGGGGTGTTCAGAGCATCCTGGTGTGGGTGTGTGGGCAGGACCTTGAAGTGGAGCAGAGATGGGGTGTGCATGGACACAGGGAGCCATGGTGGGGGTCAAACCCTGCCCTGGGTGCAGGTGGAACCCCATGGTGGTGACACTGAGTGCCTGGCATGGTCATGGAGCTAATGCTGAGCCTGATCTTCCTCCAGCTCTCACAAATGTGCTTTGAGGAGTTCACCACCTCCCCTTACGAGATGCTGGTGCTGGTGAAGCAATTCTTCCAGGACATCAACCAGCTGCTGCAGAACCAGGAGACCTTCGAGAAGGATTGCAGCCAGGTCTACCGCAAGACCTGCTTGGGACCCAGGAAGGCTGAATCCTCACCAGGTGAGATGTCAAGGATTTGTCTTTGCCCAGCAAACCCGTGCTGGGGGGCTTGGGCTTGCCTGCATGGAGCAGCTTGCCAGCCGCGTGTCCCTGGCCGTGGGCACACGCGGGCGCCGTGGGCACGGCACATGTCTGCCTTGGTCCCCGTCTCTGTCCCTTGGCTGGTGGCTGTCCCTGTGGGGTGGCCTTGGTGGTTTGTTGGCGAGCTCTGTCTGTGTCTGGGAAGAGCTGGGGTTGGGAGAAGGTGCTGGAGGTGGGATTTGGGCCAAATCCTGCTGGAAATAAGGCCAGAGAGAGATGCTGAGTGGGAATAAGGAGGCATCTTCATTGGCTGGGCTGGAGCCATCAGGCTCAGCTCCATCTCAAAGCCCCAGTGTCTGGGTTGAGTGGAACATGGAGAAATCAAGGTGCTGGGACCCCTCTGCCACCAACGTGCTGCATGACACCAACTACGTCACTTCAACTGCCCCCCCCTGCCTCAGTTTCCCCTGACCA